GTTCGTTGCTGAGTCATGGCCCCTCATTCATAATAGACACAACTGACCAGAAGTGGAGAGCTGCTCAGCAAGGAGCATCTTCTTCTTTAGGGCCAGGTGTAGGAAAATGGGTGTGAGTGGGTGAGGGGTTCTCCTCTGTCTACAGCATCTAGATACACCAGGTCCTTCCCTTTTGAAGGACCTGGATAAGAGTGTTGAACTCAGCTGGAATACATCCAGAGCTCTTTATACAAGACTTAAAAAATACTTTAAAAAACAGATCCTTCTTAGATGAATAATATTGGCAACCAACTGAACATAATATAAAAACAATAATAATTCTTCTTACCTGTGGTTGAGTCCCATAAAATACATGTCCTCGGGGCTTTCCTGCCAGAGTGTGATTATCACTAGTATTACTTCCTTACAGTGTTTTCTCAAGGTCACTCTGGAATTAGTGGTTCCATGGGACCAAGCACTCATCCATTATATGGGGAAAAATGACTAATTGAGGGTGTGAGTTTAATTATATTCATAAGCAAAGGCACAGCGCAGCTCCTCTGACAGGCTTAATAACATCCTCATGTTCACAGAGATCGATGGGAAAAATTAGGGTTGTATATTGTTGTCCTTCAGGACAAGATGCCGAAGTGGGGACAGAATAATAAAAATAAATAAATGACTCAACAGCAGCAGGAAATGAGCTGTGGAAGTTAGCAAAGCCAGCCTTATGCAAATACTTCAGCTGGAGATAAGTCCTAAGCATGCATGACTAAAGGGAAGTACCAGAGAGCGGAGTTGTCTTACTGAGCTGCCAGATTAAAATGTGAAAAGGGTACTCAGCCAGGGCTTCACCTACAGTTCTCTCAGAAGTGATGATAATGGCTGAGACAGGGATCTTTAAGATATTGATTTGTGATACTGTAATTGGGAAGCATGGTCATGCTTCACATTAAATTAAGAAAGCGTCCATTCTGTGACCAGCGGCTGGAGCCAGCTTCCTTAAATGATACATCATGTCATGTGCCCTGCATGAGCACCTATAATGGCTTCTAGCCCTCTGTTATATAAACATTGATATTCACTGTTGTCCACAGGAGGTATCTTAAAAATCAGACACACAGGGTATCCTGGTAAATTCACTGCTCTACTCTTCCTGTCACTTCTCCCCACCTGCACAACTGTCCTGCACAATTGCTCCCACAAACAGCTGACCATTGTGTTCTCTTGGTCAAGATTCACCATAGCTTTCTACTCCTACAGACTCAGGTCTATGTTCCTAAACTCTGCATTTCCTGAAGTTCCCTAGGGTCGAAGACCACCTGCAGATCCTGGAATATCCCCATGTCTGTGTCAGAGCATGCCTGCCACTCTTTTTGAAATTTTTTTCTTTTTTTTATTGTTTAAAGTATTACAAATAGTAGTACATATGTCTCTCCCCCCCTTTTTCCCCACTTGACCTTCCCCTAATTTCCCTTCCCCTCCCCCCTCAGTACATGCCCTCACTCAATGTCTTGCGTCCATTGGTTATGCCAATATGTATGCATACAAGTCCTTCAGTTGATCTCTTACCTCCCTTCACCCTTCAACTCTCCCCAGCCTTCCCACTGTCATTTGATATTCTGTTTGATGCTTCTTTGCCTCTGTATCTATTTTTGTTCATCAGTTTATAATGTTCTTTACTATCCATAAATGAGTGAGATCATGTGGTATTCTTCTTTCACTGGCTGGCTTATTTCCCTTAGCATAATGCCCTCCAGTTCCATCCATGCTGTTGTAAATGGTAAGAAGAAGCCATCAATAAAACAACAAGAAAGCCCATTGCAGGGGAGAACATATTTGCCAATGTTATCTCCGATAAGGGTTTAATCTCCAACATTTACAGAAAACTCATACAACTTAACAAAAGGAAGGTAAACAACCCAATAAAAACAAACAAACAAACAAACAAACAAACAAAATGGGCAAATGAACTAAATAGACACTTTTTGAAAGAGGACATCCAGAAAGCCAAGAGCCATATGAAAACATGCTCAAAGTCACTAATCATCTGAGAGATGCAAATCACAACTACAATGAGGTATTACCTCACACCTGTCAGAATGGCTATCATCAACAAATCAACAAACGACAAGTGCTAGTGAGGGTGTGAAGAAAAAGGAACCCTCCTTCACTGAACAGTATGTCATTTCCTCAAAAAGTTAAAAATGGAATTCTCATTTGACCCAGTAATACCACTTCTAGGAATATATCCCAAGAAAACAGAAACACCAATCAGAAAGGATATATGCACCCCTATGTCTATAGCAGCACAATTTACTATAGCTAAGGTTTGGAAACAGCCTAAATGCCCATCAGCATATAAGTGGATTAGAAAACTGTGGTACATCTACACAATGGAAAACTAAGCTGCGGTAAAAAGAAGGAACACCTGCCACTCTTTCTGGGCACAGTGCTCACCTACTGCATTGACTGATGAGGCCCTTTCTCTGTTTTGCCCCAACACCCCTGATTCTTGACTAATTCTTGACCGCTCTGACTAAGTTCATCACCCTTTCCCCAGCCTTTCCTTCCCAACTATCCTAAGATATTACACTAGGGTTTATTGTATGGGTGGCATTTTCTTGCAGTAGATTATGAGTTTCTGAAAAGCTGGGACTTCTTTGTTTATCTCTGCCTCTCTGGTCCCCCAGGGCACACGGCAGGGATTCAGCAAATGCTTACAGATAGGCTGTTGAAAGGCAGGAGCAAAAAGAAATTTCTTTAATGTAAACAAATTCTGGGTTTTGTTTAAAAAATGAAGAATGTAAATACTGCACATACTGAAATCTATAATTTTCCATCGTGCTATAAACATTTGCGACTGTTTTGGTGTGTTGCCAACATTGGTTCTAAATACGTAGCAAATAATAGTAGATATTTATTGAAACTTTTCATTTACTGAGTCTTAATTTGATAAATTAATTGTAGCCCCTCATTAGGGCTGTTTTCCCCCCCTCTTTGTTCACCCTGCTTATAAATGTGGAATGATTCATAAACACATTCAAATAAGAGAAGAGAAATTATATTTCTTTCAGTATAAGGGCAGAAATTAAATTCAGGGGGAAATGAAATATTCACCATACACTGATGAGTTTGGCTTTGCTGCTCCCATGATAAACTCAAAAAAGTGGGAAAACCCTAAACCTGGTTGCATCCACACTAAGGAAAGTCAATGTGGTTATAGGAAACTCTTATCTAAATCAGATGTCCTCATTTTTTGCTCCCTATGATGTGGTCACTCCTGGCCAGTAGCAGAAGCAGCACCTGGGTGCATGAACAAAGATGAATGACAGGCATCCCATTCTGACCTCTTTGCTCTAGGTCACATCCAGACCCTAAGCTCAGCTAGATGAGCTACAAAAGGGATTCTTGAACCCACATTGGTCTAGCTCACCATCCGAGTTTTCACTGAACAATGTTGAATGTAAGCTCAAATTGGTGGTGATCTACATCCTTACCTCAGCCATCATGAATATTTAATTATGTTGCTATATTATTCAGGGAGAATTTTAACTGATGGCGCTAACCAGGTCTTTGCTGGCTATACTTCTACAATTGATTCTGAGGCGATTCTGTGATCTTCATTAGGAATGATGACGAGTTTACAAGTCAGGAATGCTCTGAAGGAAAAATTACTTTAATAGTTGCAAATAACTGAAATAGACAAATCAGGTATAAAGGGTCAGAAATGCCTACAGTTTTAGCTTTGGGAGAGTTTTATTTCTTACGCTGCCACAGAAGTTTTCAGGATGATAATAGACTTTAAGAAGTTATAAAATAGATGGCTCAACAGGGGGGTTTGGAGAACTGTACATTTGGCTTTTGATGGAGCCTATCCAGAGAAACCGTGTCAAAAGATCATTATTTTGTGACCTTGAGGAAAAGCAAAATTGCTAGAGGATTTCCTATTCCTACGCATGAATGCATGTTGATGTTTATGGAGACAGACTCTCTTTATCTTCCTCTATGCATGCACATTTCACACAAGCACACACGCCCCTCTTCAAGACTGGAGGCTAAGAGCACTGCTATAAATATTCATGAGGTAATTATTATTAATGTCACCAAGGTGATTTTGTTCCTTCTCAATAGAGACGGGTTTTTGCACCTAGAAACCAATCAACTGTAGGAGAAATGGCAGCTTTGAGCCAGTCCAGCAAAAGCAATCCTGCACATTTTACTTTTGAAATATAGACTATTTGACTAGATATTTTAAGTCACGTTTTGCCCCGCCCCAACATCAATCTTATCCAGCAGAGAATCCCAACTCTGGTCTACAATGCAACATCCTTGGGAGCACAGTTTCTAGAGTTTGAAAGAACTTGATTATTACATTCTTTTCTAAGAGCAAAAATTAGGCAAAACATAAGGGTGATCCAAAGATATCTCAAGAGATTTCTGGGAAATGATTTTGTATAAAGATACATTGGGAGAAAATTACTACACATTTACTAGTTTTATTATTTAAAAATTCATATAATAGGTCTTATTAGATAGCTATTCTAAGAGTTATAGGTTTTCAATCACACACAAACAAAAAAAATTAAAATAGCTACTGGCCACAATCAACTAAATCCTTAGGTATAAGTCATGGACTCTCCCCCAACCACCAGCTGACCTGCCTGGTTACCTTATGTGTGTATGTCTTAACATGGGAAATTACTGGAAAGTACTGTTTTCCAGAGAAAATGAACTATTTTTGGTTGAAATGAAAATGTGTGTTTTTTTGTTTGTTTGTTTTTTGCCCAAGACCTCAGAAAACATGATAAACAAGTTGAATACTGGTATAGGTACAGGAGAGTGGGAGATACACTCATCAGCACCTCATTAAAAATGTTTTTACTAACTTCTCATACTCCATTGCCATATCAGCAGTCATCCTTTCAGACACTCTGATCTTGAGTAAAACAGCAATTAAAGTTACAGGATCAGTGAACCTGTATGATGACAGCAGGAGGCGGCATTGACATGGGACTCACCTTAGGCATCCAGTGGCATTTCGCAGCACCTGTGAGGAATGCAGCTGTATTTTTCGGTCATCCTGAAGGGGTGAATTTTCCCAGCCCGAGTGGGGGATGATCACGGCATTGGTCAACACTGCCAGGGTGTCCTGGATGATTGGCATTTTGAGAGCATCACAAGACGAGAGATTCCAAAGGACTCCTGCAAGGTAGACACAGACAGAGCTTTTGGATGGCCACTGTTTTCTCTCATCTCAAAACCATTTCCCCTAATCAGGTTAATAGCATGAGCAGAGGGATTAAGGTAGTTATGTCCTAGAGTGCACCTTTAATTTTAGAACACCTATGTGAACCCATTAAAAAGTACTGTGGCCTGGCCAGTGTGGCTCAGTGGTCGAGCGTTGACTTATGAACCAGGAGATCAAGGTTCTATTCCTGGTCAGAGCACATACCAGGTTGTGAGCTGGATCCCCAGTGTGGAGCATGCAGGAGGCAGCAATCAATGATTCCTCTCATTATTGATGTTACTATCTCTCTTTTCCTCTTTCTGAAATCAATAAAAAAATATTTTTCAAAAAAAAGTTCTAGGACTATCTGACAAGTGGGTGGAAGAACTGTGACATGATTAATTGTTCCATCAGGGAGGCTAAAAGATTGAGATATTTGATTGACTGGAGGATACCTATCAGGCATCCATTTCACTATTAATAGAAGGAACCCAAGTAGCCAAATTCTAACCAAGACCAAAAAGCAGTGAAAGTCATCTGAATTGGACTACCAGGGCACGTTAGTCTTCTCCAAGACCTCTGTATGCACACGTGGTCTGTCTGACTCAGTGTCCATGGAGAACCACCCACCATTGCAAGACCTTATGAGAATCCAGCATCAGGTCTGGTAATGAAAGGTTCAACAAGAAATCTAAATTTCCTGTCACACTGACAGTTTTTTCAGCTTTTCCCTGAAAGCGACCCTTAAGGAGGAGCTACAGATTGTTCTTTCTTATAGAGCAACAAAGAGAGCTGTAGAGCATGTCTTCCAAGGACAAAGTGTAACAGCAATAATGTGGGCTGAGCAAAATAAAACATTTTTAGAACAGATAAAATGGTTCAGGTTTCTACATATTTTTAAAAGAAACTTTAAAATGACATTAATCTTAGAAAAGGCCGTAAGTATTGAATATACATATAATAATATCACTTGAAAATGCTTTTAAAGTAATTATTCTTTTTGTTGTTCAAACAGTACACATAAAGGGAAAAGAAACTGAAAGTGCTGCTCCATTTTACTATAGAAAAGATTGCATTCTCTCTCAAGACTAACATAAATAGACACTATCATTGCAGATATCGGGGGGAAACAGCACAGTTGTACTTAGAAACACATCTTTGAACTCACTTGTTGTTTTTGTTTTTTAAAAAAATATATATTTTATTGATTTCTTACAGAGAGGAAGGAAGAGAGATAGAGAGTTAGAAACATCGATGAGAGAGAAGCATCGATCAGCTGCCTCTTGCACACCCCTTACTGGGGATGTGCCAGCAACCAAGGTACATGCCCTTAACTGAAATCGAACCTGGGATCTTTCAGTCCGCAGGCCGATGATCTATCCACTGAGCCAAACCGGTTTTGGCTGAACTCACTTGTTTAATATGTTTTCAATAATTTTAAACATGTGATTGTATTTTTTCTTCTCATTACGAATAGACCACACTTATTTCTGAAGTTTGCTTTGCTAGTTTCTTGCATTGCACATATTGACCTATCAAAGCATGTTAATATTAGTCTGAAGCTCAATTGTGTTAGATTGTTAATAACTTATGTAGCTAACAGTTTTAAATCAATTCTATAAAATTGTGACTTTAGAGACAAACTCTTCCAACTATCTTTCAAAGTAACATGGGCTGGGGATTTTATTAAAGTAAATGAAAAGAGACAAAATGGTGCCCTGTATGTACAAATCAATCCTTCAGTACAGGGGGCTGGCTTGAAGGCAATCCCTGCCTGCCTGTTCTTTGTAAATAAAGTTTTATTAGAACACAGTCATGGCTGTTCATTTACAAATTGTCTATGGCTGCTTTTTTTCTCCCCTATAAGGGAAGAGTTGAATATTAGGGACAGAGACTGTAGGACCCTCAAAGCCTAAATAACTTACCATGATAGAAAGATTTTTACCTTGATAGATTTGCCCACCTCTGCTTTACCATCATCAATATTTTCTCTGCATCTCTGAATTGCATGTTTGCATTGTTAGTAAGATCCCAAATTGAGCATACAAAAAATACTCAATTGTACACAGAAGGTGCTTAAAAATGTATTTGAATTTGGACTGATTTGAAATACTAGAAACATTATCATAAATATTTATTTTGTTTTAAATACTATATAAACCTGTTTATTTATCCCATTGAGAAATGTTTTATGAAATTTTGGGTAATAAAAATGATTACCTTTGTTCATTTGCAATCTCACAAAAATGTTCTTTTTTTAAGTAATTAGATTTTCATTTTTAAACAAGCACATTAAAATGAAAGTATTATCTACCCTAGAATTATAGGATGACTTTGTAAAATATCACATTAAAGAGCTTGCGTCTGTTCTTCTAAGTATACAATGCAAGCATACAGAAACAAAACAGAAGTTTCATTCATTCCAAAGTCCTAATATGAAAATACCAATACATGAAAATTGAGGTTTGCAATTGTTTTAAATTATGGTTGATATGCTAAAAACATACTCCCTCAAACACTAAATAGTAAAAAAGGAGACTTTTGTAATTTTACCTGCAATAAATTTAAATGATTGTAAAGGGATTTTATGATGATAAAGCAATTTTTACTATTACCTAACCATCAGAAAAGAGGTCAGAAGAGTGGAAAAAAAAAAAAAAAAAAGATGTAAAGGCCTAATATCTCATAGGTGAAAAGTTGGGGGAAAAAGATGGGATCCAAGGTAATTCTTTATTGGGCTTTTCTCGCCTTTCCTTTCTCATTAATTCATTAATTAGAGTAGCCTAATTCAGAATCATGCATGGACAGATGTTTCCTAGTTCACATTCATTTCACCTTCCAGACTGGCTCCATCTGCGCTTCACATCCCAATGAACTCACAGCAGAATGCCTGACCCATATCTCCAAACTCTCCAGCTTAATTTCCATCTACAGCCCACAGTGCTTCCTGCACTTATGAGAACTACAGGTGGATCTCTGATCATGGACAGCTTTACCACCTCTGTTTGGAGGAAGACTCGGCAAATTATGTAATGTGGCAGATTTTCTTTTGGGGGGAGTTCAGCAAACTAGTTGAAGGGTGCCCTCAATACTTTGAATTTTGATTAGATTATGTGGGCACCAGAAATAAACTTGAGTGTAGAATCAGCAGCCTCAGGGGACATTTGAGATAATGAGCAACATATCCTGCAGGAGTCAAAGGTGGGAAACACACACACACACACACACACACACACACACACACACCATTAGTATTGGCCAGAGAAAGATGAGTGGACAAAAATGAACATTTGACAATCTTTGTGAACAAATGAGAAATAGGTATTTTGCTCAAATTTGTCTTCACTCCTTCCTTTTCTGTGTTGGTTTAAATGCCCAAACATTTCCGACATTCCTTTCAAATGGTGGAGTCCAGTCCTTCTCCCCATGGGTGATTCACTCTGACCAACAGACATGGTGGTGACGGTGAGTGACTTCTGAGATTAGGCCATAGAAAAGGTATTGCGGCATCCTCCCAGCTGTCACAAATGGCTTGTCTGAGGGGAAGCCCGTTGTCCTGCTGTGAGAACTCAAAAGCAGCACAATACTCAGACTGTATAGGGTTAATGTTTGATGTTTTAAGCTGCTACAACTTGGGTAATTTGTTAAGCAGCAACAGTAGTTACTGTCCCTTCCCTTCCCTCTCAACCTCCCACTCTCCTTTTTCCTTTTTCCTGTCCTCACGCCCCTCTGTTCCCTTTGTCTATGGGGTCCATTCTTCCCCATATAACATTTTCATCCCCTAGTTTCTTCATTCTAAGTTAGACCCACTTGTGCTCTCATTCCTTACAAGCCCCCTATCCTCTTACTGAAGTCCATCCTGAGAGTACAGAAGACACAGGAAGATCCATCTCAACTTTGTAACTAAATTTAAAATGAATTTTAACTTAGATTGTGAGCGATATTTAACTTTGAAAACTGTGTCCTCTTTATGTTTGAAATGTATAAATGGCTAAATACTGTCTTTGAGTTTGAATAATTCTGTATTAGTTTCACACTGTTGCTGCAACAAATGTTCTACGAATGTAGTGGCTCAAAACAACGTGGATTTGTTATCTTAGCTTTCCAGAGGTCTGCGTCTCCAATGGATCATAGGATTGTGCTCCTCTGGAGGCACTCAGGGAGGATGCCCTTGTGTTTTTAGGCTTCTAAGGGCTGCTTGGGTTCCTTGGCTTGGAGGCTGGCATCACTTTGACCTCAGCATCCACATCGCTTCTCCTTCTCTGACTCTGATCCCATTATGACACTGTGATGACACTGAGCCCACCTGGATAACCAGGACAATCTCTCCAGCTCAGGATCCTTCACTTAATCCCATGTGCAAACTCCCTTTTGCTATGTAATAAAACATTCACAAAATCTGAGAATTAGGACATCCTTGGCGGACCATTACTTAGTGTACCACACATCCCCTTAAAGTACTAGTATTCTGTTTGCTTAAAATAAAATTAAACCTCTAACTGTAGCTTCATGATCAGGCCTTTCCCTAAATTTATCTTCAATCATATCCTTTCATTCACCCATTTGTGCATTCCATGCCTATTAAGGACCTGCTGCTGTGTGCCAGGCTCTGATGGATACAGTAGGCACATTAGTGAGTGCCCTCGTGGCCTTTTATTATTGTAACTCTAGTCGTTCTGCTCTGGCCATCATGGCCTTACTTCTCTTTGAGCACACAGGCTCGCTTGTAAGGCAGATCTCTTGGACTTCCTGCTCTCTGTTTGGACCATCCTTCTCTAGGACTGTTCCAATGTGGGTCTTTCTTTCTGCTCACCTGGCACGTTTAAATGTGCCAACCCAGCAAAAATTTTCTGGATCAGTCCAAACTACCCTCCCAGATACTTGCTATCAGAAACCGTATCTTAGTTTTCGGCAGAAACCTCATCACGAATGCACATTTCCTCTGCATTTCATTCTTTGACTTTCTGTCATTCGC